TGATTGCTATATCACATATATTTCGAATAAGAAATTCATTTATCTTTTTTAGGATGATATTGTTTATTTTTCGCATCCATTCGAATTTGAACTTTGGTATATGCCATCAAGTAGTTCAGCTGATCATGGTTAAAATAGAAATGAAATATACAATCTTTTCTTTCATAATCATTTTTTATATTAAGAACTTCCTCGAATGCCAAAAATCTATTTTCAAGTTTCTTCACAAGATTCATGGGGTCGTCATCGAACAGAAGGATATACATATATTGATGTTCCAAGCTTTCCTGGTTAGAAATTTAACGTTTTTTTTTCAAAAACAAAATAATTTTCTTTATTAATTTTAGGATTTTATGATGAAGAATTATCATGTTGGCGACCACGTGGTGATTCAATATTTAATGAACTTCGACAATTTTTTATTGGTGGATCAAATGAACTTGAAGATATTAGTTATATTGCTATTCCAAAACAATTTCAAAGTGAAAAAGTATTAGATAATTAATTGAATTTTAAGATAAAACAATATTTAAATTTCTTTTTTGTTTAGAATAAAAATCCATTGAGTCGTTTTGGTTTTCGTACAGTATCAACAGGAACATTAAACATTCGACTTAATGTTATTTTTCAATCAGAGTATGTCAAAATAAAACATTAAATTTATTCTAAGAAGAGAAATATTTCATTATTTAGTAACTTATCCAGCGTGAGGGCAACATCCCCTTTCGGGAGAGAAAATTTGGATAAAATATTGCCATTATTAACTATTTGAAAACTAGTAAAATACATTAACTTATTTTTCGGTACAATCTTAAAAAAAAACTTTCTATTGGGAAATCAAAAAAGTTTCCGAGTTTGGATTCACGAGGAGAATCTTTTTAGGTTTCGTAAAAAACCAATTTTTTTTAAGAACGTAACAGAAAGTAGTGTGTTCATTTGCTGAAAAAATCAATTCTCATACTTTTGTAGTGTTTACTATTTTGAATTCTAAATTTCTTGTAAAAATTTTAATGAAATCACAAATTAATTTGTATTTATTTTAATTAGAGAAATTGCTATGGAATATGGTAAACAACGTGGTGCTCGTGAAAGACATCATTATGGGTATGTAATATGAAAGAAAATGAATGAAAAACATTAATTTTTATACACGTTGTTTTTTAAAAATAGATTTAATGCATTCATGTCAAATATTAATGCAACCCTTGGTAAGCATAAATTTCATGATTTTCTTTAAATTAATAGATTATTAATTGTTGTCATATGTGTACTCTAAGATTAGATTGTATGATTGTGAACATTTATTCCTTAGAATCAAGATAGAAAAATATGTGTGTTAATATATTTAAAGATAGGGTTAAATTGTATTAACAAAAATTATACATTCATCTACAAGACAATGTTCAAGAATTTGATTAATATAATTATGAGTAGAAATTTTGATTTCTTAGGTGATTCATAAACGACCGCATACCGATATTTACGATAGCGTAAATGCGCATAAATGATCACTATACAGTCGTATACAACGAAACAGATGTGAAGGATCTGCCGCTAAAATGAAAAATTTTCCTTGCTATAAAATAGAGAAAAGGTTGAATTCTGTTTGTTATTCGCACATTCGAAGAAAATCTAAGAGAGAAATTCATTTAACACACAAGAAACTTCTATCAACATTCAATCTTTGTTAATTAACTGTAAGTCATACTCGATATCTTGCCGAAAGAACATTGTTTTTAGTTGAAACATTTACGATATTCTACAGATCATTCAGCTTTTCTACAGAAGAAATACCAAAGGTTCATAGGTACGAATCGTTTTTTAAACTTTCTCTAGTCTTACTGAGACCTCATTGTAGGCTTAGTATGAGCTCAAACAATGTGTATGAGTTCGGGTAATTCCCTTGTAAGATATAATAAACGTTTTTCTGTAACTCGAAGCATATGCCAAAATTTGAAGTTATAAATAATATTGATTTGAATCAAAAAAAAACCGAGCTTCTTTCGATAATCTTTTCATATGAAATTCTTGAATAAAAACATTAATAACTCGAATAAATATTAAAATTGTTTTAAATATTTCTTTTTAGATGCATATGAACATGCAAAACGACGTGCATTAGAAGTACGAGAATCAACATTACAATTACTTACACCAAAAGTACCTGCCTATGAATGATTCGATTCATCATCGACAATATAGATAGCTGTCAGATGATGTCATTTTTTTTTGTTTTGTTTTACACAGTGACGATAATTTATGCGCCGTCCATTTTACTTTTTCTTTTTTGTTGTTTTTATTGTCTAGTTTTCTTTTTCTTTTTTTTTTTGTTTTACTAATCTGTAACAATAATTTTTGTTTCTCCTTCTTTTAATTCTATTAGAACTAATTTTATATGTTTATGTAAGAGGGAATGAATCTTTTGTTTGTTTGTTTGTAGAAATAAAGAAATAATGCATCTTCGATCAATAATTCGGCATCGAACTGTTCTATCAACATCATTTCGTATTCTTCAAAATTATTCACCAATTGTTTCAAGTAAGAAAAAGAATTTTAATTTCTTTTTAACATTAAATATAATTGAGTCTAATTTTTATTTCTAGATCAATCAAATTATTATCATCATTTGATTCTTCAAAAACCTGTTAGTCGTACATCAATATCTATTCAACGTTATTTGGCTACAAATAATCAACCAGAAAATGTTACATCAGTACCAAGTAAATTTGAAAAAATACATATTAATCTCTATGTAATATTAAATTGGTTGTTTTTTTAGGTGTAGAAAAACATAATTTTCAAGCTGAAACTCAAGAATTATTGCATATTGTTGCAAAATCACTTTATTCTGATAAGGAAATATTTATTCGTGAATTAATTTCTAATGCAAATGATGCATTAGAAAAATTACGTTATGTGCAATTAGCAGCAGGTGGTGAACGAATAGATGATGATAAACGTGAAATTTATATTACAGTTGATGATATTAATAAAATATTAACAATAAAAGTAAGTTAATATGATTAAATTTGAAGAAAAAAATAAAATATAAGTTATCATAGGATTCATTTTTCAAAAGTTTGAAATGAAAGAAAAGAAAATCGTGAGAGAGTTTTCCGCTGATCATCTGAGCAAATAAACATGTAAGAGAAGATCGATAGATTGTAAAATATCAAATATTCGTCTTCTTCATTGGGAAATGAGTGATTTCACTTCT